ATTAACTGGGTCAAGTCCAAGGCCGTCATGGAAGCCAAGAACTCCTGAGCTGCCGCCGACGTCCCGCCCGCTGATGGCAAGTTGAAGTCCCCCAAGACCATAAGTCTGGGGGTCTCCACCGCCACCCCGGCTATCATGTCGGCCAGCTCAGGCAGGGCTGTTGATACATAGCAGGGAGCCAGGTATATAATCAACAAGCTTACACTATTCATTTAGTGACCATTCAAAGTTACAATGGCACTGGAAAAAGTGACTTATGGCCGTTTTTCACATTTATGACTGTTGCAGCATCCTTGTGGTCACATGATCAAAATTTGGATGCTTGGCAACTGGCATGTATTTATGACGGTTGCAGTGTTCCAGGGTCATGTGATCACTGTACTTGTTACAAAGGATCCAAAAATTATGGATTTTTAGTTATTTCTGATATGTTTCCTTAGTTGGCTTATTACATCTGCTTTTATACATATCATTTTAGTTAGAAATTATCAGTTTCTAAATGAATGTGGATTAGTCAATGTAATACTTTAACCACTTTAAGAGTTTCTAAAAGCCTTTGGAAGTAGTATAGGTAAGTTACATAATATTAACATATTTGTCTACCAACAGCACTAAATCCTGTGTCATCTTGAAGATTATTGTGTCTCCAGAACAATACTTAGAAATGATGGAGGCAACCACAAAAGTATTTGAGTAGCCCTTGTAAAATCACTTTTATAGATTACACATGGAGTTCCAAAACAAGATGCTTAACTGGGAATTGCAAATTGACTAACTCCAGTCATTATTTAAAAGTGGGTTATTTTTTGTGCAATTATTAAAAGTGAATGAGACGGAGGCAGAGCAGGAGCAGGACTTCAGCTTTGTAAGAACCATGTGAACAATGGATACATTGAAGGATAAGATTTACACATGCCAACCTACTGCTCTGGAGAGCCCAAGAAGGTTTGACTCTGAGCTTTAGAACCGGGGTCCCCAACCCCTGGCCCATGGACCGGTACCAGGCCACAGCATGCCAGCAACCGGGCTGCACAAACAAGCAAAGCCCCATTTGTGGGATGCAGGCAGCACACGAAACCATGCCCCCTCCGGTCTGTGGAAAAACCGCTCTCCACGTAACTGGTCTCCCGGTGCTCAAAAGGTTGGGGATCTCTGCTTTAGAAAATGTAAGATCTGAGTTGCTGTGGTAGACTCTCTGTGTAACATGCAGTTCTGTTCTAGAAAAAAAAAAATCCGAAGAAATGTGTTGCATCCACACATCCACAAAAATATATCAATGATCTCCAATTTCTCCTGAGAAATCCAGGCACTGCACAAAAATGTTCATTTAACTTTACTTGTTTTAGGTATGAGTCTTGCCAATAACTTCATTCCTTTGACTATACCCCAAGGAAAAGAAAACCTACTAAATGGTATTATTACTTTTTCACATAATGGAATAAGTTCATCTTCAAAGAGATCTCGGGGAAGTTTTCCAATGAAAATCTCACAGCCTCGTTCTGGTGGTGGTCCATCCCAATCTGGTGGTGGCCCTCCGTATTTTCGTTGACCATTTTCCTTAATGAAAAAAAAAACAAAATTTGGAGCTGTATTAATTTCAACATTGCTTATATTCCTAGTAATATTACTGAATTGTCTTCCTGTAGTTACATCTTTTTCTGCACTTAAATTTTATCTCATTTTTATTTGCTCCTGGCCCTGTCTTCACTCCATTAGATTATTTCAGAGCCTCTGTTTACCTCTCAAGTGATTAAGGAACTTACCTAGTCATGAGGAAAGTGCCTATAAAGATGGCTGGAATTGTGCAAGAATGAAGAAGAACTTAGTTCATTTTGTATTTCATTGTCTCATTTAAATTGCAAATATATACTTTCTGAATCATTATGGTAAATTAAGTATGTGCATGTGTGTGTCTCTGTGTGTGTATATTTGCACCTCATAATGTTAGGTTGCAATGCATTACTAGAGGAAGCTGCATACAATGTAAAAAGCATTGTCTAAGGAAATATATTAGCTTACGCATACAATATATTTAGGAGAAATATGCATGAGAATGTATTCATTTTTTGTGTATGGGATTTAAAGCCATAAACCTGCATGAAGGAAAGAAAATGAGCAATTAATTGGAAAAATCTGAGACCAATCATCAATGACCTAATTGTCCCTCTGCTAAATGCTCGGTTTGCATTGATATGTTGAATGCAGGGCTGCAATGTGAATTGGCAGTTCACAGAAAGACCCCGGCAGCAAGATTATCAGAATGGAAACTGGAAAACCCATGTAGCATTTGAACCTCATTAAAAAACAAAAGATATTACTTAGGGGAGAACTTCTGGTGAAAGCCATTGGGAAGCGTAGTAGACTTCAATCTCCTTATTTTACTTTCAAATTAGTAACCTAAAAGTTGTATTTATGTGACAGGGAAGTTCCTACCTGAATCAAACTATATCCTGTGCGCTGAATTAAAGTGCGAAGGACAGCTTCTTTCTGTGTGCCGGTCAATCCATCCCCGGATTTTTTATTTGATTCCATTGTGTGTGATTACCACCAAAAAATCAGGTTAATTAGGTGTACTCACTGCAATCAAATTTAAGATAAATTAAGTAAATTAAAATAGTTCTGTAAAGGAAATTTCCATCACAGCAATGAGGAAGGTCTTTATAGGAATCACTCAGAGTAATTAGAAAACAGAACTTGAAATCCAACAACTTCAGAAAGGATAGAGAATCAGGCTGAGAACTTCTTTCTCCAGAAGATTTGTGAGGACTTTGAGGCAAGAAATTGTTTTGATGGTCCATTCCAAAATAATGTATAAAACTTTCATTAACAGCAATGCCTGGGTTTAGCTTGCAGCATTTGAAATGTCCTGTATTCTTTTATTTATTTTTTTAATTTTCAAAGTTCTCTGAGTGAACCTTATCACTCTTTTGTGGTCAATGTTTTTTATCCACTTCAATATTATGGATCACTACATCTCATCAGATGCTTTTTGCCCCTTGAGGTAGTCCAGACAAGAAGCACAAACCATGACTACTAACAGTAGCAGGTTACAGTAACAGTTACAGTAACAGAATCTTGCAAGTATGAAAGCACTTTTCCCCCTTCCTTTACTTTAATCTCCCAGAAAATAAGGGAGAGTTTCTTCTGAGCTGCTTCCTATGCCCCCCTTTCTTTTCTGGGCTGAGATACCTTTTGCCGGACAGCTCCTTCCCCTATCTCTCAAGGTTGTTCTCACAGACCATTACTGACACCAAGCATCTTTTTCTATTGCAGTCCTGAATATTAACAAAGTAAACAGTATCATCATTATCCAACCTGAAAAGTTATGGTTATGAGATCTATCAAAATGTTGACACCAGGAGGTAAGCTTGATTTCAGACACATTTCAAACTTATAGGAACTTCATTTCAAGCCATTTCACTGGCTGCATATGTAAACACGATACTTTAAAAAGTACTTTAAAGTATCTAACAATGTATGAAATACCCCTTATTTTTTAAAAAATATTTAGATAGTTGCTGATGAAAGGATTTCTATTCTAACACTCATGGAGGAACCGACTGCACAAAAATCAAATGTATGTTTTCCAAGGAAGTCCAGATAAGATTCAGCCATCCAGTTCAGGTCATCTTTAGAAATTCAGTGAATATATAAAATGGGAAGGGGATTGTACTCAATGTTTTCCTTATCTGTTATACACATTTTTCTTAAGTGTTCAGCAATAGTCACACAAATGTATTTTTTGGCAAATAACATTATTTGCATTTCTGTAGGTTCCCCCATTCTTATTTTAAAGGCCTTTAAAAATAGGCCTTTTAATTTTGCTCCCCAAACATACAAAAACCTCTAGTAGTAGAAGAGGAAGTTAGATCAGCACTCTGATCACTACCAAATTGGGAAGCTACATGAACTGACACAAATATGGAAAGCAGCAGCAGAAGAAGTAAAGATTCTAATCAAATGTGTCAGCCAATCTGGACAGTGACACATTAGCCAATAGGTTGGAAGAGTCTACTTACAAATACCAAAGGAAGTAGACTTAACATTGTGTGAAAACAATTGTCCAGTATCCGTAATGTCACATGCTAGCAAAAACTTGTTAGATCACCCAAAACAGGTTAGAAACCTGCATGGAAAGGGAAATGCCATTTCAGAAAGCCAAGGAATACAGTGCATCATTTTTGTTCTTATGACAATCAACAGAAGTGAAAGCTGGTCTTTGAAGAAACAGGCTAAAAAGAATATTGAAACTTTTGAACTTTGGTGCTGGAGAAGACTGCTGAGAATACCAAGGCTAGCCAAGAAAACTAACAAACAGATAATTGAATACATTAAGCCAGATGACACACAAATGACCAGAATCAAATTATCATAGTTTAGACATATTATGTGATGGCCTAGCTCTCTAGAGCAGGGGTCTTCAAATGTTGCCCTTTTATGACTTGTGGACTTCAATTCCCAGAATTCCTCAGCCAGGCATGCTGGCTGAGGAATTCTGGGAGTTGAAGCCCATAAGTCATAAAAGGACAACGTTTGAAGACCCTTGGTCTATAGAAAGCAATAAGGCTGGGAATGATGAAAAGGATAACCAGCATCAAGCTGCTAGACTTGAAGGAATGGACTGGGGCAGATCATCTTCAAGATCTTTCTATGTGGTTGCTAAGAGCTGATGCTGACTTTATGGCACATCATCAGCATCATCAATCAAATACTTATTTAGCACTTGAAATTTTTAATCTACTCCATGCCATGTTGTAAAAATAGTTCTTGGCACAAAATTGCTCTTTAGCAAAAACGCCCTTTAGCAAAAATCTTCAAGTAGTAAATATTTCATATCAGACAAAGAGATGTTCCTAGCTCAAATGAAGAGATTGATATTTGTCTTTTTTGTACATAACATCATTAAAAAGTTGAAACAAGAAGATGAAACTAAAACAAACTGATATAAAGTAAGAAAAAAAAGAAAAAGAAAAAAGAAACTGCAAAAAAGAAAAATTTGAAGAAAAATATATAAAGAAGTGACTTCTGATATTCTTTGCAGCAGTTATAAGTACAAATATCTTGTAACCTCTCTCTAAAGTTACAACATATTACTAATTATCAATAAGAGATTGATATTTTTCTTAATATCTGATAGTTTGAACGGTCAGATTTCCCATTCATTCATCTCCTTTTATTATTCTTCATTTCTATTATATGTGAAATATTCATATTCATATTCACATTCATAAACAGAAAAATTGGCAGGAGGCACCTGACAGCTGTGTTGAAAAATCCTGGTTATTCAACATGTATGGAAAGTCAGAAATTTAGAAGGGATTTCTTATTGAAAATGACTTTGTCATTGATGATTAAGTCATCAAGCATACAGTATTGTATGATGAGTGGGAAGATAAAAGGATTCAGCTTGAGACACACTGGTGAATAGATTCAAAAGCATTCCTTTTTAAAATATTCCTAATATTCCCTGTTCTTTATCTAATATTCTAGTATCTAATATTCTTAATATCCCATATTCCTTAATAATCTTCTGCAGCATGGAGGTGGATTTTGAATAAAAGTTAAATAAACATTAAATAAAAGTTAATTTATATTTTCTGAATAATGATGAAAAAAATCATCACTTCTGTTCTGAAATCTTGTTCTGCATAAAAAATGTGATATTACAAACCCGAAGTGAAAGCAAAACCTACTCAGAGCACTGAATATATCATTATGGTATGAGATTTAATCAAGCCACTTGAACACATGCAAAATGTCTTTATTTTCTTCATTGCTGTAATAAAAAAAATATTTTGATCTCTTTCCTCAGCTTGAAAACTCTCGTGAGGACCTCTCCCCTTCACTGTCACTCTATTTCCAAATAGAAAGGCAATATTTTTATTTGTTGCTTATTTCTTCACGTCATACACTGAAAAATTGATCCAAGGCTGCATTCTGACTATGGTTATAGTTATATAATTTGCTACTGGGCTGAACTGAGTGGCATGTTTTACATTAGTGTTTTTTTTCAAACTTGACAACTTCTTTAAAGCATATAGTAGCACCTTCCTTAGTCTATCCATAACTGGTGCTTCCTCAATGTTTCTCCCAGCTCATCTTTCCTGTTTATTTCGTAGCTCACCAAATTGTCATTAATCAAATAGCAATAGCACTTAGCAACAGCACTTAGATTTATATATTGCTTCATAGTGCTTTATAGCCCTCTCTAAGCCGTTTACAGAGCCCCCAACAATCTGGGTCTTCACTTTACCGACTTTGGAAGGATGGAAGGCTGAGTCAATCTTGAGCCAGTGAGAATCGAACTGCTGGCAGTCGGCACAGTTAGCCTGCAATACTGCATTTTAACCACTGCACCACCACAGCTCTCGATAGTATGGATTAAAATGTCTTTTTATTGAGGTCTTGGTTTTTCAGTGATAAACAAGACAGATTCCTTCAAAATTACTTCTCCTATAATGTATGTTTTCCACAGTCGTTGATTCATGCTTTATAAATAACAGAATAACAGATTTGGAAGGGACCTTGGAGGTCTTCTAGTCCAACCCCCTGCTCAAGCAGGAGACACTATTCATTCTGGACAAATGGTTGTCTAATTTCTTCTTAAACATCTGTTACTTTTTCCAGTTGTATTGCAAAATATTTCCTACCATGCATACAATAATAACTGCAACTCTGCAGAGTCTAATATAGGCTTTATGCAATGCTGCCCAGTGCTATTCAACAAGAGAATTCTGCCAATAGCTTGTGCTGTCCCTTTCCTATCATCAACCTGGCAGATGGCTTTTCAGATATGATGTAACTTTTACCCGCTTTTGCAATAAGCTGTACAAATCTGAATGAAGTTCTCACTCCTTCTCCGATCTTAGCCACAAAAGCTATTGTTTTCCCACTTAGCTCTTATTCTGAAGAATAAAAAAAGCCTCTTTTGATTTATTGATAAGTACACTAGTTTGAAAATGATGCAAAAGGGCATCATGGCATTTTTCTAAGCATAGAATGTGTAGAAGGTGAATGTGTAGAAGCAGTGAATGGCTTTCCATCCTGATGAACCCATTTTTAAATATTCACCATTGTATTTACTTTTGGAGTTGTTTGTGCAAGAACATGGTTTGCTTTACAGGTGCCTCACAATTGATAATTGCATTTTACACCTGTTCACCATTGCATTCAGCCTCACCTAAGCACAGCACCTTTCTGCAATTCATTAAAGGAACCCACTCAACAACTGATTTGTTTAGGTTTCTAGTCTAGAAGAATACTATGATGTCCATCATCTTCCTCTAAATTGCCAAGTGGACAAAGAGAGAGAAGTGAATGACTATCCTGATACTATCTGACTGAAAATTCTCAAGTTATTTCGCTGTGGTCATCTTCATAACCACTTTTAATCTGTATGCCATTTTTATAGCCACTGTCCACTAAAATATACACATTCATTTTTAAACACCTGAAACCTGAACATCTGAAACCCAAGAAGGCTCCACACACATTTACACTACTCAGGTGACCCTGAAGACACAGATAAGCCT